AGGCAGTGTGGGATTCAACTGGGATGTATGTACTTATCATGCACTTCCCCTTGGTCCACATCATGTGTGTTCTCTGAAGTTAATGACAGTTTCGTAAACACTTGATGGAGAGAAAGACCAGAGCGAATATGGCCAATATGCAAACTGATGCACTTCAACAGGGTGGTCGGACTATCCTGATATTCTTGGCACGCTCGCGTTCTTGTCGGTGACTTACAAGTTAAAGGTGAACTGTTGTGAAGAATGTACCAATGTAGCAGCTTGGCGGGTTGAGTCGATTGAGTGTTTGGCGAAACTTGTTTATTTGCCAGGTTTTAGGGGCCACTTTCTATATGAATTGTGGAAGGAAAGCACAAATGCGTTGTTTTCATTTCCTCATTTCCCTGTCCTTTCGAGCATTGACAAAATACTCAGCCACAAATGGCCACATATCCGAACTTACAACTACTAGTATAATATAGTATCATATAGTATCATTATGATTTGATACATGGCTGCCTTTAGAAGCAAAATCTCGAATGCACTTTCATTCTTGATGACAGTTTTGGGATTTGGCAACCCAGGCTGAGAGATAGCCAACTCCTATGATGTGCATTCTTGCCACGCGAAGAATTCCACCAAGGCCTACTGCGTATCGAACCGCGGTGCTGAACTTCTCTTGCGCCTCACATCACTTGAGCCAAAGGCCGGGTCCTTTACCACAGTATAACCCCTGTGAGAAAGGTGTTGTACTGCCGGTGCGCAATGTTTCTTCTTAGGGAGGCAAGTGTGGTGGTCTCGATGGTGCTGTTCAATGTTGCGTTTTCCAGCAAGTGCGAGTCAGTTATCCATCCTCAGAGCAGGGTAGGCAGGTCCAAATCCGAACTCAGGACACCTCGGTGCATTTGATTCCTATTGACGATTTCCTCCCTGGCAACTGAGCTTGGAATATTTGACATTTGAGTCATTGGGGGTGCCATGGCCAGAGTCAACATTCCATACAGCCCTTGGCAGGAACGATCTGATTTCACACTGGTTTGAACATTTTGAGTGATGTCCAGACAACCCTTGTAGAGTTAGACAGAATAATAAATAATTTGATACCAGTAGTACCCGCACGAGGCAGGGCGGAAGTTGCCTTAAGGATATACTATAAGACCTTTCTCATCTATAGAACTTGCATGCGCCGTGCGCCAGCCAGGCCCGTGCGTGCGTGCATTCTGCGAAAGTTTTGTCCTGTTTCGCATGTCACATTTGAAGGTCCACTTCGCACTCCACACTTCTCACTGCACTCTTCACACTCCACACTTCACACTTCCTTCACACTTCATACTGCACTCTTCGCACTCCACCCTTTACTTCACACTGCACTCTTAAGACTCCACACTTCACACTCCACACTCCACACTTCACACTTCAGACTTCACAGTCCACACTTCACACTTCTCACTTCTTTCTTCACACTCCACACTTCACACTTCACACTCCACACTTCACACTTCACTCTTCACACTCACACTGCACTCTTCACGCCCCACACTTCACACTGCACTCTTCACACTCCACACTTCACACTCCACACTTCATCTCATCTGAGCTCTTCTCACCTTATCCCAGCTCATCTCTTCTCATCTCATCTCTTCTCATATGTCATCTAAGCTTTCATGAATCACTTCCCAGTACTACTTCGAGAACTTGCATTAGCCATGCGCCAGCCAGGCCCAGGCAGGTGCGTGCGTGCGTGCGTGCTTTGTGAGAAGCTTTTACACACAGCAAGCTTTTTAAACAGAGAAGCTTTTACATACAGAAGCTTTTACACACAACAAGCTTTTACACACAACAAGCTTTTACACACAGCAAGCTTTTACACAGCAAGCATTTACACACAGAACACTTTTACACAGAGTGCTTTTACACATGGCAAGCGTTTACACACTCAGAAGCTTTTACACCGAGAAGCTTTTACACACAGAGAAGCTTTTACTCACAGCAAGCTTTTACACACAATTTTTTTTACACACAGCCAGCTTTTACAGAAAAAAGTTTTTACACAGAGAAGCTTTCTTGTACATAATTACAACAGGAATTGCAGCTCCAAAACCGGATGGATTTCGACACCAAAGCGGAAAAAAGACGATTTCGAAGCACTTTTTAAAAGGATTTAATTAAAAGGAAAATTGCTAGCGCCAAAATTGAACAAATCTGCTGACAAATCACTGTCGCAGCCTTTATACAGCCACTCCAATACTATTTACGAGATCCAGCTGCAAAAGACAATAGTATTACGGCACCAAGCAACCTTGACGCAACCATTACAATGCGATCTGCAGAGACTGAGTTGCAAAGCGCAATAGAACTACGCGCAACGGCGTCGGCAATTGCAGCTCCAAAACCAGAAGATCTCGACGCCAAAGCAAAAAAAAAGTTTTTGAAGCACTTTTCAAAAGGAATTTTAAAAGAAAATTGCTAGCGCCAAAATTGAGAAAATCTGCTGACAAATCACTGTCGCAGCCTTGATGCAGCCACTCCAATACTATTTACACTTGTCATCTGCGTAAGACAATAGTACTACGCATGCAGCCGCGGCACCAAGCAACCTTGACGCAGCCACTACAATGCTATCTGCAATCACAGACTCAAGAAACGCATAGAACTACGCACACAGGAAAAGCCACTCGTTGCAGAACACAGAGGAGGAACCGATTACGCCCGGAACGACCGCAGCCGCACCCGCCGCACACACGAGCTACTTTTCATCGCTGCCTGCAGCCACTTTACACGGTAAAATGCACGGTTTCGTGCTCCGGCTTCCTCCCCAACACAAACACCATGCAACATTCATGCAGCCATTACAATGCATTTTGCAGCATCATGTAAGAAACCTGCATCTCTCTACGCACATGGCAACACCAGATGACAACAATCATGCAGCCATTCCAATGCGATCCGCAACTGCAGATTCAACACACGCATAGAACTACGCACACAGGAACAACCACTCGTTGCGGAACACAAAGGAGGAACCCATTACACTCGGAACAACCCCAGCCACACCCGCCGCACACAGGAGGTACCTTTCATCGCCGGCCGAAGCCACTTTACGCGGAAAAACACACGGTTTCGTGCTCCGGCTTCCTCCCCAACACAAGCCCCATGCAACATTCATGCAGCCATTACAATGCGTTACAACTTCCCTTAGTCACCACTTCCCAATGTCACCACACTCCCTTCGTCACCATTTCCCAAAGTCACCACACTCCCTTTGTCACCACCTCCCTTCGTCACCACTTCCCTTAGTCTCACACCGCCCTTCATCAATGTCAATTCTTTTGTGATGTATTGTTATGTGATGTCAAGTCTCACGCCACCCTTCATCAATGTCAATTCTTTTGTGATGTATTGTTATGTGATGTCAAGTCTCACACCACCCTTCATCAATGTAAATTCTTTTGTGTGATGTATTGTTTTGTGATGTCAAGTCTCACACCACCCTTCATGTCAATTCTTTTGTGATGTATTGTTATGTGATGTCAAGTCTCACGCCACCCTTCATCAATGTCAATTCTTTTGTTATGTGATGTCAAGTTGCAGACCACCCTTCATCAATGTCAAGTCTCACAATTCTATTTGTCCGCAACACGGAAGTATTGCTTCCCAACTTCCTTTGACAATTTGTATTTGAGTTACGAACCATGTAAAATTTGAAAGACAAGATTGGATCACTAGCGGGCCACAGCCGGATAAATTCCACTTAGAATCTGGTCCATGGCCACCTGGGAAAAGGTGTTTTTCTCTAGACTCTAGATTTCTATTTTCGATAGATCTCTATCGCATTATCTTGCGGCAAGTTTGGACGTTGGGTTCTCGGCACTTCAGGTCTTTGGTCTGGGCAACATCCAAGACGTGACCTTGAAGATTATCTTCAGCGACTTAGCCGATCTCAGATGATCTCAGCGGACCGCAGCCGCAACAGTTTTTTCGAGTTCGGAAAATGTGGTTTCTACAGTCACAGGGTCTGGAGATGTCTGGAGTCTAGAGGATCCATGAAATTTTCACTCAATGTCTCTGTTGCATTGATTCGATCGTCCTTTGGTTTTCCATATTCCGAGTTGAGAACCCTTGTACCAATTCAAGGCCGGATGGTACAGTCAATGCACAGTCCAAATAGCGTTCGGGGCAGAAGTGCCTCTCAGAAACTATGACCCTCTCACGGCCCACGACCCTTCACCTTGGCTTAGGAGGGTCTTCCCTGACCATTTCGGCTCCAAACAGCTGCATGTGGTGGCGTTCCGGGAGGAAGGGAGAATGGAACCATGGCCAGCTTTGAGCGTGGCGGTAAACCCGGTCAACTTTGGTGTTTTCACCGGTGATTCACAATGCACTTTTTTCTGGGAAATTATGTTATTCGCAATGGATCTTCGCCTGGCGTCTTGCCTGTTTTCCTACCGGAGACAGGCTATGTATCTCACTCATCCTCGTGCAATGCGTTACTCAATGTCAATCCAGACAAATTGCTTCAGAATGGCTAGGGTTATTCAGTGTTGGGATTTTTGCTTGCCAAGGGTAGGGGTTCCAGCTAGCGCAGTTCTGTCGCATTCTGTGGTGACAGGACTTGGCTTGGCAACTGGAGAGCCTTCCCTCCGCCGATGGGCAAGTCGTCAGTCAGCTCTTCCAGCCACTTGGAAGAGTCCGACTTTGGGACACATGGAATCAGCTGACTGAAGTGGGGCTCTGGCCACCGATAAGATCTGAAGCTCCAAGGTCGCTGTGGATTTTGTATAGTTTTGCTAGGAAAGCCTGGCAGTGGTATTGATGTTTGAACCAGAAGATGCAAGGACAATGGCCTTTGAAACCAATCATATGCTGTGAGAGCCCCCAAGCACCGTGATAGTTTCCGTTCTTTATATATATACCTAGATCCTCCGGGTATGCTGAATTTCAGCCCCTCCAGAATTGGCCTTGATTCTAGCCTCTCCAATACAGAATCTGCCCCTGCATTTCTCTTTTTTCAAGAAGCGCCCCTGGAGACTTTGCCAGATCTGTGCTCAAAGACAAGCCACATCATTTGCTATGATCTCTTCCCTTTCTTCTCCATGTAGCGTTTAATGACAAATCTAAGTTTCACTTTGTATGCCAAGAACAAATTGTCCAGCAAGCACCTATATCCAATGCGGCGACTTTGTTTTGCAACTGCACCCACAAAGTCTTCGTTCATACTGCAATCAAAGCAAGCTGGGTTGAGAAGCAGGACATCATCACCTTGGTTTCTCGCCTGAAAATCATCAATATCAGCAATGTAGTGAGCCATAGAATGGTATTTGGGTACCATCCCAAAAAGTGAGATCGAATTGTCTAAGCTTTCTTTTGCTAAAACAGAGTAGCAGTGAAGGAATCGTTTGACTGCAAGGCGTAGTTTTCCAACACAATGCTTTCGCATCCACAAGCCATGTCGGTGGATGTATTGAGTGAACACCAGGCCTGACCGGGCACCAAGTAACATGACACCAAGTGTTTGTTTCAAAGAAGCATTCTCCACAGATTTCCGGGTGAGCTCAATGATAAAAATCAACCACTTCAGAAGCAAGACAGTGTCACTGCCTTTGCAGCTAACATATGGGAATGACCCTCTCTTGAAATGAAGTTTGTCACGGGTAAAACTACGAATGCTCTGTGGCCGCTGTCCAGTTGAGGAACACCACAAATAAAAGTGAGACCAAGCAGTTTTCATTCTTCGTTCCATACTATAGTCAGATTCACCATCATCGAAAAGCGCATTGTGGCACATCAGGATGATGCAAGAAGCCACAAAGTTCCGTCCAATGCCCAGTCGGAAGATGTGGAAACTGTCACGGCGAAAGAACAGAGCTGCTTTGGCATTAGTATCCCCACTCCAGTCTTCAAACGGAATGCTAGTGAACGGGGGCATAGTGACCCATGGAAGTGTTGTGTACCTTGTTGATACCCAACTAGCTGCTGGGTTTGGATCTTCGAATGGGTGATTTCGATGCCCTGCCTCACATTCATGGCAACACCGTATGAAGTTCACATGACCTACATTGGCATAACTTCTGGAGATACTGGTCTTGGCGTGATACTCCATATCACCTTTGTAACCAACCACAGCAATCCCCCAGCGACCATGTGGAGTCTGAATCCCTTCCTCGCAAACCTTGCCAAGGTCATCACCAACTTGTTGAAGAAGAGCACGCAAGAGGCCAGGCATCTTGAGTTCTTTGCTTGCAAAAGCAAAGAGCAGGAACCGCGTCAAATAACTATGGTGCTTCTGGTTCAAGCATTGCACCAAAGGGTCCCCAAATTGTTTGCGTCTTTTTTTGGTTTGGGGGCAACCACAAGGATCATGCCTGCATTCCTTGCATTGATAGCTGTCAACACCCAGAACTGCTTCCAAAGAAAATATCTCAAGGGGCTGCATTTTTTGTGTTCGAGCTCCATCGCCATGTAGTGCAACTGGAATTGTGCGTTTCAATGGTACAGGACTTCGGTTAAATACTGTATGACTTGGGTGGTTCACTTTGTAGTTGTCCCAAAAGGATTGCAGCATTGCCTCTGCTTGTTCCACCACTTCACAACCACCAAGGAGTAACCACTGGTAGCTAGTCAGAAGGTAGAGTAAAAGACTTGAAGGCCGTATCCATGGTAGAGACACGACAGAGCCATCCTCTTCATGAACATACTTGGACATAGGGATCTTCACCGCAAAGGAATGTCTCTTGACTGTCCGTTTGAAATGCCTTGATGCATTTTTCTCCGTGAGCTGCCTGTTTGACCCGACGTCCCGGGCCAGGGCATTTTGATGCTCAGTGAGAGCTTTGGCAGGGGCCTCATTGCGATGCGTGGGCAAAGATTATATAACCCAGGGAACAACAATGGGGAGAAAAGTGCAAATTCCAACGGATGTCAGCAACATTCTAGCTGAGACATGTTGAGACCCCAGCTCCATCAGCAACCACCTCTACCATGTGGGTAAGCAAGGGGCCTGCATGGCCTTCCGTACCTCCATCCAGTTGACAGGGTGTCCATTTTTGGAAGTTTGAAGTTTGAAGAACTAGCTAAGTTGATGCGTGTTGATGCAAACTCTTTATTTGATTGAATCTAAGTTGCATGGAGTCCGATGCAATTGCAATCCCTTTTCTCCCTTTGGTTCTTTCGAGCATCCCCAAATTGCATATCGATAGCCAGCAGCTTCGAAAAAAGCTATATTGGCCAACATTTGTCAAAGCAAATTGTTCATTGAATTTGCAAATTTGCGGTTCATTGCTTTTAGCACCGCGTAAACAAAACATCACCTACTTTCGGGTCGGTTCCTGCTTCACGGATTTGTGGGGTGTCTCTTGACCCTCCTCAGCCTTGCGCTTCCTCAGAAGTTTTCTGGTATGGGCGAGGTATGGCCTCAAATAAAAAGCAATCGATTTCAACAATCGTTCTTCCCTTGAAATTAAGATACCCTCAACAGACTAACTAGGACCATAGCTGAGCCCGGCTGTGGAGGTTCAGCGCTTCGATGCACCTGGGGCAGCGCAACTGGAGGCCCAACATGGTCCAAACATGTGGTAGGGGGCTCACGGCAGTGAAGCAGTGTATATGCATGTAAGATAAGATCATATAAGCCAGTGACGTGTTCCGAACGGACTTGAACTCCATCTTCAGCTCATCCTGTTGCCTTAAGGCAAGGTTTCAATCTTGTTGAAGGTTAACATTGATGATTTAATTCTTTAAGCTATTTGTTGTATTGAACAACCATTGTGGAGACTAGTTGCACCGGCTCCAGTCCACCAAGAACAACCTTCTTGTTGGTGTCGGCCAACTTGTCACCAGCTGCGTTCAAAGTCTTGGACAGCTCAAGGCACTGTTGTTTAAGCCTTGGGGGCAACAAAAAATGATAGCAAACAAATCTGAACTAATTCTTTGCCAATAACACCAATCGTTCAGCACCAAGTATTTGATAATGTTTGATTGAAAGTGTTTGCAATTTCACCCAGTAGCTGCTCCAAACATTCATCCAGTTCGGAAAACTGGTCGAAACTCTTAGCCATGTCAGAAATCTTCAGCTGCCATTTGCCCAGACAGTTCATCACTTTGCCACAGTAAGTGGATGGTAAGGCATCATCATCCATCTCTGGCCAACTGACAGTCTTGAGCGTTTTGCTCCAGGCTGCCTCCCGATCAGCCTCAGACTTCTCCCTCTGGGTCACGGCATCAGCACCTGCAGGACCGGATGGGCATAGTATACATCCAGCAGGATTTGGCATATTTATATAAAATTATATAAAAACCAATGGGATATTTATCATAGTTCTGATTAACAAATGGGCCAAGTACTGATCGATCATTTTTTGGGGAAGCACTCTTATAGGTATCATTGACGACCGAAACTGAATTATATACCTACCTTTGTCTTGGGCTGACAAAGTCCATGCATTCATCTCAAAATCATCTTCATCATCATCGAACTCTTCATCCGTCTCATCCTCATCCAGAAGAACGGAGCGGCGTTTCTTCCTGGGCGCACTTGTTGATAATCTAAACGGGTGTGGCAGGGACAGGGCATGACAAGCATGTTGCCACAACAAACACTGCAACCGAAGATCAGCATTTTGCCACACATGTTTTTTTCGACCCAAAAGAGCTGGATGTGCTTTTCATAGCGGTCCCTCCTTGCAGAGAATTTGTTCAATCTGAAATCTAAGGTGGTCTTGTGACATGGATAGGTCCAGTTATGGTGTTTTCAGTTTTCGGTTTTTGGTTTAGTAAGTCTCCTGATCCAGCCTTTGTGCTTTGCACACTCAGCCTTGACAGCTTTGATGCGGTTCCTCAGTAAAACAGGACATTGTTGGTACAGTCATGGGTGCTGTATATCCCGAACAGCAACCAGCCAAAGTTTTGAGATGCCAATGGATTCAAATGAAAGGTAATGTTATGATATATATCATGATAAATCAATTGGATACTACTTCTTAAAACAAGGGTCTCAGAAAAGTTGAGTTCTGTTTTCATGTCCTCCTCCGAAGCGAACGCCCCATCAACCCACATGTCTTGTTCGGATATCTTCTCCTTGATGCGCTTCGTGCACTTTGCCACCATCAGGTCCTGCAGCATACCAAAGTAGGGATGAATAGCAGTTATTGGGGCTAAAGCACCAACAGAGGATCTCCAGATGGTGGAAATGTGTGGGGTACATATCTTGTGAGTTATTTGTTTTATTACAGGATATTACAGGTCACTCCATATATATATTTATTGAAGGCTATACAACCCCAAGATGGGCATGAAATAACATAAAACCCTAACCCTATTCCTTGTTGTACCCAGCTTTCTGAAACTCAGACAAGAGGTATTCTCGGCCACTCTCATCACGCCACTGTTTAATCAAATCTTCTGACACAGCATAGGACCCATCAGCACGTTGCTTGAAAAGCCTGTTCAACCTTTTCATTGCATTTTGCCTGGAGATTGGGTTGGAAATCCCATTGGCATTGTCAGTGGGCTCATTGGGGTTGGCCTTGTCAACAATGGCCTGTGGGCCCATTGAAGGCTCATGATGATTGGCCTTGTCAGTGCCCTGTGAACCCGATGAAGGCTCAGTAGGCAAAGCCCTGTTGGACACATCACCCAGTGATCCAACATGATCAATCATATCTTGAGTACCGGGGCTGAACTCCTGGGCAGGGTTTGCACAGCCAGTAGAATCAGTAGAACCCTGTTGCGCTATACAATGATAATTTGTATACTAATATATATGGTTTTGGAAAACATTGATGTTAGAATGCTACATCCCACATAATAAGGTCACATCAACCAACGACATAGTTAATAAGTGATAATCTGTATAACAATTGAAACTTGAGATTATTAAGGACCCATCTATCAACAAGTTATTGGTTCCATATTTTCCCATAACCAATCCTGATCCTGAAGGGTGAGATATGGATCCGCTGAAGTAGGCGAATCCACAGCGGCAGTGGCATCACCAACGTCACCACCCAACAAATTTCCATCCGATTCTCCCAGATAAATTGGAACAGCCCTCCATGGACCATAGATTGCAAGTTTCTCCATCGCCTGATGGGCCTGCTCCTCCTGCGAGTCCAGGACATCTTCAGCGGGTTGCGCCGGTTGCGCTTCATCCTGTACAGCGATGGAGGCAGGGATGGGGACGGGAGCCAACCATTTAATAATACATCACATCACTTCACTCATTATAACAAATCTTTGTTGCATGTTGACCAACCATTTTAACACACCATGTATAATCCGCAGATTCTTTGTTTCCAACTAGCCCCTCAAATAATCTCTGGTGACCCTACTGTGTTTTCGGGCAGAAGCAAAATTATATAGGTCTCACAGAATGGTTGCTGGGGGACCTTTTGTTCTGACTGTGTTTTTTTTATTTTTATTTTTATGGCATATACCATTGTTAGTTTATTCAACAACCTTTTTTTATGGATTCAATGGGATAGGTTACACATCTTTAGCATTTTGTGGGATCAGCAGAAGGGCGGTACCAGGGGGGTTTTGACCGGTGACCGGGCAACCGGGCTGACCGGCCCGGTTGACCGGGCCCGGTTGGCCGACCGGCCAACTGGCTGACCGGCCAACCGCCGACCGACCGGCCAACCGGCTGACCGACCGGCCAACCGGGCGGCCGGCTGACCGGCCGGCCGACCAACCGGCCCGGTTGGCCGACCGGCCGACCGGCCGACCGGCTGACCGGCCAACCGCCGACCGACCGGCCAACCGGCTGGCCGGCCGGCCAACCGGTTGACCGACCGGCCAACCGGCTGGCCGGCTGACCGGCCGGCTGACCGGCCGGCTGACCGGCCGGCTGACCGACGGCCCGGGGCCGAGCCGAACTGACCGGCCAGTAGTAGTAGTAGTAGTAGTAGTAGTAGTAGTAGTAGTAGTACTAGTAGTACTAGTAGTACTAGTAGTACTAGTAGTACTAGTAGTACTAGTACTAGTCGTAGTAGTATAGTTGTTGTAGCAGTAGAAGTAGCAGTAGCAGCAGCAGTAGCAGTAGCAGTAGCAGTAGCAGCAGCAGCAGCAGTAGTAGTAGTACTAGTCGTAGTAGTCGCCGTCGTAGTAGTGGCAGCCCAAACACATATCCAAGAAAAAAGCAAAAGCAGAAAAAGCATGAGGAGGAAGAGAAGAAATTACACGCAAACACCCTTAAACAAAAAAGTAATATGTCAATAACTTTTAGATCAGGATTTGAGAAAAACATAGTTTCCCAAACGGACCAGTTTTTGACAACTTTCTTTACTAAAAAAGGCAATTTGAAGTTCAAAGAAGGGTCCCCTCCACAAATTGCCGAATTTAACTTGTGCGGCAGTCATTGTATTGACACGTGTATGATGTTCATCCTTATTTCTATGTCCTGGTTTCTGCAGCTAATATTTGATGGCAGCCCAAACGCACATCCAAGAAAAAAGCAAAAGCATGAAAAGCAGAGAAGGGCGGAGCCGGGCACTCTCCAACCGTGAACCGTGGAACTCAACCGTGGAAACCGTGAAACCGTGGAGCTCGAACCGTGGCCCACGTTTCCACGGTTCAACCGTGGAACCGTGGAACCCGAACCGTGACACACGGTTCCACGGTTCAACCGTGGAGCCCGAACCGCGGCGTACGGTTCCACGGTTGAACCGTGGCGGACGGGCGTACGGTTCCACGGTTCAACTGTGAAACCGTGGAGCCCGAACCGTGGAGCCCAAACCGTGGCCCACGGTTGCACGGTTCAATTGTGAAACCGTGGAGCCCGAACCGTGGCACACGGTTCCACGGTTCAAGTAGTAGTAGTAGTAGTAGTAGTAGTAGTAGTACGAGTACGAGTACGAGTACGAGTACGAGTACCAGTACCAGTACCAGTACCAGTACCAGTACCAGTAGTAGTAGTAGTAGTAGTAGTAGTAGTAGTAGTAGTAGTGGTGGTGGTGGTGGTGGTAGTGGTAGTGGTAGTGGTAGTGGTAGTGGTAGTGGTAGTGGTAGTGGTAGTGGTAG